TGCAGATCTGGGAAGGATCACAAGACTTTGCCTCCTATGGCGGCCACACCTGTGGTGCTGTACTTGTGTGCATCTGGCAAGCGTCTGATTTTGTTGGGGGAAAGAGAGTACCAGAATAGGCTGGTACTCGTAATTCTGAGACATAGGTACATTTGGCCTATGGAAAGGGGGCAGATTTCCTCTGAACCCCATAGGCATTCTCTGGGACCAATACAGAGAATAGTTCAAGTGTCTACCTTATGAGCTTGTCACTGAGCATAGAAAGGAATTTCTGTGATGTTTCCAAACTTGGTATAAATGCCAGGGAAGAATCCACCAAGCTCTGAGGACTTCAACCTCTAGGGGAAGAAAGCTGTGATTTATAGATCTCTCTAGAAATTATGGTTGGGTTCTTTCCACTCTCAACCTAGTCTTCCTTAGTCACGTGACCAGAATTCAATTATCTGTGCCATAAATAATCCTGTGAATGGAAGCAGTGTGTTTGGCAGTGAATTTCTGCTTCCTAAAGAGAAAGGAACCTTTAGACGATATTAGAAGTAATAAGTGTATGAACCTCGACTCCAAATGCAAATGGCTGTGAGCGTATGGCCCATCCCTGGAGAAGGTACCTTTAAATGAGATGGGTACATGTTGGTAACAGATGGCAAAAGGATTGATTGGTTATGGTTTTTGAAATCTGCGTTTTGAGCATGCTGTATTTAGAAGTTTGTTTATGATTGGTTTCAGAGCGAAGCCAGTCTGTTGGTGCCTAGGAGAGCTGATCTGGTTCCATTAGCATCATTGAAATATTTAGCAAGAAGCTGGCTTGGGAATGTGCAGTCTTCTGAGCACACCGGTGGAGATAAGGGTACCTATCTTGGGTAATTCTCGTAGTACCAGTAGCCTCTTTGTTTTTCTGCCTTACTCTATGCTCCATGACTAGGAGGTAAGGTCAGGCTTTTATAGTCAAAGGCTGTGTGCCTTCGAAAACAGTCATTTTCCTACCTGTCCTCAGCCAGTAACAATTTACGTCCAGAAGATAGCAGAGAGTGCTGATTTAAGTCATTTTACAACCAGGGCCCATTCCTGAGAGAGAGCAGCTCAGTAAATTGTTTCAAGAACCAGAGCAGTTTTCTTGGTTATTAAAACTTGACTATCCATCTACACAGGGTTCATTCAATTGAGAACGTTTTATTGAATCCAAAAATAATAATCCTTTATATTTGTACCATATTTGCAGTTTTCAAAGGGACTCCTCACATCCATTTTCTCATTTGATTTTTCTGACAACTCCATGTGATAGTGAGAGTAGGTATTGCTACCTCCAAATGACAGATGAGGGACCTGGAGCCCAAGTGCCTGTAAATCCTGCTCAAGGTTTCACAACTACTAAATGACCAGGGCTGGAATCCCTGAGATTTGATTCTGGCCCACAGCTTTCCTTGCTCATTTAGGAAAGAAACCATTGGCTCTGGCAAAGGAACGTGGAGGTCAGCTGGGAAGGATAGCTGCTAGGGAGGTGGGCTGTCTTCCTGTACTTGTTACCCACAATGCCTGTGCGTGTGCATGTTAGTGTGTGTGTGTGTGTGTGTGTGTGTGTGTGTGTGTGTGTGTGTGTGTGTGTGACCCCATGCCTGGGATTTTTCTTTCTCTGATCACAGTGGTCTCTCAGGTTTTGTGACAAAGACACCAGCAAGTTGTGTGGGATTCTTTGGATGGTGCACATTTACAAAGGGAAGGGATAGCAGTCTGTGTATTTTTCCTAGAATATAGGGCCTTCATTCTCCCTTTATAGAGACCTTAAATCTACCCACAAGAAAAGAACATGGATTAATTTCATTCATTCCCAGGCCAACCCTCACTCATAGCCTTTCTTCTCCTTCCTCTCACCTCTCTAGGGCTGGGCTGCAAAGATGTTCCAGAAGGTTGTATCCAGGTAACCCAGCCATGTCACTTCTAACTGTCCAGTTTAGGGCAGGGGGCTTTTTTTTTTTTTTACAGCCTGAGTGTCTTTCGTTTGAAGCTGGTATAAGGGAATTGGTGAAATAAGCATAAGAAATCCATGGCATAGCAACCGGTACTCAGTACCTTCTCGGGAAATGTATCCTGTGTTAGAGGAAGGTGAACAGAGACGTCGGTCAAGCCAGAGCCAGTGTGAGCATTAGACAGATTTGGCCTCAGCTTGAAGCACTGTCATAGCGCTACTGCTCTGCCTCCATGCTCTCCCTCCTCTCTCATCCTCACACGAGAGGGTTCAGGGAAGAGTTGAGTTAGGAGGTGAGAGCATTTTGCAGATGGAGAGGCTCTCGCTGAATGTAGTTGTTACAGAAGCCCTGCCCTGGGTCTGTTCCCAGCCTTCCTTGGTTGTGAAACGAATGAGTTCTCAGCATGACAGGGTAGTTTGCAAAGCTGTTGTCCAGGGCTTTGCTGCACAGTGCTACCTGCCCTGAAAGCAACGTGCATGCTGATGCTTCACAAAGCGCATTTCATCAAAAGTCATGAAATGAAATGGACTTTTGATGAAATAGGTTGGGGAATTCCACATTCAATTATGAATCAGTGAAAGGAGCAGAGATAGGGTGCACCATATCCATTAGAACAATTTGATACTCCTGTTTCATCTGGCATTGGGGTAAGGAGGCAAGAAAGTGAATCTGCTTCTCAGTAGTCCTAAACCAGTGACTAGCCAGGAATCTGAGAAGAGTAAAAGCAGCCTTCCTTTTGCCTGTGATACTGTGCAGTGATAATGTGAGGGATGTAGCTTGGTGGTAGAGCACTGGAGAAATCAAAACAATCAAGTCCCAAATTAGGAAAAGGCCCAAACCAAACAAAAAACAGAAAACCCAGCAACCCCTAGACAGTAATGACAACAGAAACCCACCTGCCAACCAACAGATTAAATAAGGGGCCAGAAATGCAGGGGAATATGGTTCTTAAAGTATGATAGAGAGCAAAGATCTTAGATTTTGATGGGCCCTGAAAATGAAGTCCTATTTTAAGTTGTGACAGCTAAGATTCAAGGGTAAACTTTTGATGGTACCCAATCAGACATGATGCTCTCCTTGAAAGCATCCTGACATGCAGTGGGGGAAACCTTCTGCACTGCATGATGTTATTGGGGTGTGACTCCCTTCCAAACTCCAGTTAAATGGTTTCAAAAAACACATTGTAAACTTTATCACATTAAAGGACCAATTGCCAAACGTTATCCATAGCTGCCTTTAAAACTAAGATTTCTTTGTTCTGATGTTTATTATGACTTTAAGATTTTGAGAAACATATCAGATGGGAAAAATTCTTGTTAGATGATGTCCCTGCTATTAATGTGAACTGTTAGGGGATAATACCAGATAATAGTTAGTGATGGCTTTTTGAAACATTTGGGAACTTTTATTCCTCCCTCTGTTTGTGAAAAACAAACAAACCAAAACAAAATGACAAAAAACACCCAAAACAAACAAAACACTATGCCTGCAGTATAGGAAGTCATACTGTAGTAAGCCAGTGCTTATGCGTTTTCTTGTCATAGATTCTGGTCTACCCAACTATGTCAAAGATAATCACATCTTTGTTAGCCATCTTCTGCACCTGCTTCTGTTGACTCCTTCATTATTATAGTGACACCATAAGCCATTCTCTTACTTAGTCATTCAGCACTTTTTGATAGCTACAGTATGCTCCATTTTAATCATATTTCTGCTACTAAGAAGCTCACAATCCAATGGAGAGGCCCAGAAATGACAGTTGCCAGCTGGTTTCTGGAAGATTTAAAAGTACACTATTTAGACATAACTTTAATTTTTTCTTTTGATTCATGTGTGTGTGTGTGTGTGTGTGTGTATGAGGTGTATGTGGGTGTAGCACGTGTGTCCACAGGGACATGTGGATATGCCTCCTCACTCTGTGTGTACTCCCCCTACAGTGTGTGTGTGTGTAGGCCATAGGGAAATATCAGGTGTTTACCTTAATTGTTCTCTACCTTCATTTTTGGGACAGAATCTCTCTCACTGAACCCAGAGCTCCCCAGTTATCTAGACTATCTGGCCATTGAGCTCCAGGAATCCTTTTGTCTCCATGACCTCAGTGCTGAAGTTATAGACATGACCTGCCCAAATTTTACATGAGCTCTAGACATCCACGAGCAGGTCTTTATGCTCGCACAGTGCATCAAGTGTTCTACTAAGCAAGCCATCTCTCCAGCTCCTGTAGCAAACTTCTGAAGGTGAGCTTGCCTTAGCTGTCAGTATACAAGTGAGAATCTAGTGGCAAACGGAGGATGGGGAGGCCTGGTCTGTGTAGCACAGAGAAAGGCAGTCATGCCCCACGCCAAATAGGTTGAACAGGGATTGGTGGGGTGGCGGGGAGGGCACCAGGAAAACATCAGCTAGTTCCTTTTCCCTCATTTTAAACTTTTTCATTTTGTTTTTATAGATGTTATCTTAAAGTAAATATTGAACTATGGAGGATGAGAAGAAGCAAGTATCAATTAGTAATGGAAA